TACTTTTGTCTGTGTCTATGAGTTTTTGTTTGTTTGTCTTGTTGATTTGTTGCTTTCAGTTTTGTATCCTGCATGTGAGTGAAATTATATGGTTCTGTGCTTTTCCCTTTTGACCTATTTCTCTTAGCATGACCATTGCGTTGTCTCAAATGGCAGCATTTCATCTTTTCTGATAGCCGAGTAATATGCCATTGTATATATGTACCACATCCTCTTTATCCAATCATCTGTTGAAGGACATTTTCCATATCTTGGCCACCGTGAACATAGGGGCACAAAAATCTTTAAGAATAAATGATTTCAAATTTTTCAGGTAGATTCCCAGAAGAAGGCTTGCTTGATCATATGATAATTCTATTCTTAATTTTTTGAGGAACTGCCATCCTGTTTTTCATAGTGGCTGTACCAGTTTACATTCCCACCAGCAGTATTTGAGGGTTCATTTTTTCACCACAACCTCTCCACCATGTCATTACTTCCCTTGTTGATAATAGCCATTGTTACAGGCATGGTATGGTATCTCATTATGGTTTTGATTTGCATTTTCCTAATAACTAGTGAAGTTGAGCATCTTTTCATATGCCTGTTGGCCATTCGTATGTCTTCTTGGGAGAAGTGTCTGTTCAGGTCCTCTGCCCACTTATCAGTTGGTTTTTTGTTGTTGTTGTTGTTGAGTTGTATTAGTTCTTTATATATTTTGGATATTAGCCCCTTATCGGAGATTTTATTTGCAATTATATTCTCCAGTTGATTTATTTACAATGACATTGTTTTGTAGCTTTGCTAGTCTTATTTATTTTAGTAGATCTTTAGTAGATCTTATTTATTTTAGTAGATTACTAAAGACATTTTGTATGCACAATTATGTTATCTGTGAATATAGATATGTTACGTCTTCATTTTTAAATTGTATGCATTTTATTTCTTTTTCTTTAATAATTGGCTAAGACCATCGATATAACATTGACTACAAGTGGTGAGAGAAGATATTCATGTCTTGTTTCTAATCTTAGAGATAAAGTATTCATTCTTCACTGACATCATTAACTGAATTAATAGATTTTTTAAACTGCCCTTTATCATTTTAAGGGAGTTCTCTAGTCTGCTGAAGGATTTTTTTTTGATTCACTGATAATCATCATCATTGAATTTATCAAATGTTCTTTATTGAGATAGTCACATGGTTTTCTTTTTATTCAGTTAATATTGTAAATTACATTGATTTTTCAATGTTCAACCAACCTTGAATTCCTGGGATGAACCCCAGTTGTTTATACTATATTGTATTATATTTTTTATATTCCTGGTTTTGGTTCACTAACTGTTAAAGGACTTTTGTACTTATATATTTAAAGGATATTTGTATTGTAATGCCATCTTGAGGACTTGATATTATGGTAATGCTTGTCTTATAAAGTGAGCTTAACCGTTTCTACTATTTTCTAGAAAAAAAATTGCATAGAATTGATATTATTTCTTCCTTAAATGTTTAGTGGAATTCACCACTAAAGCATTCTGCAGCCAAATGCTCTACCACTCAGCTATACCCCCTCTACCACTGAAGCATTCTAAACCTAGAGTTTTCTTTTTGGGAAAATTGTCATTAAGAGTGAAATTTATTTTTTAATTAGATATAATACAGTTTGGGTTATATATATATTTTATTGTGGTAAAATATACATGACATAAAATTTACTATTATAACAATTTTTAAATGTAGTTTTGTAGCATTAAATATACTCACATTGTTGTGCAACCCTCTTCACCATTAATCTCCAGAACTTTTTCATCTTTCCTAGCTGAAGCTCCCATTATGCTCCCATTACCCACTAACTCCCCATTCCTTCCTTCTCATAACCCCTATTAAGCACTGCTCTATTTTTCTGTCTCTATGAATTTGACCATTCTACATAAATATAACTAGATTCATACAGTATCTTTCTGTGTCTGGCGTATTTCACTTAGCACAGTGTTTTTAAGGTTACTATGTTAACAGTGGTGGGAACAGGCATTGTTATCTTTGCCTTGTTCCTGTTTGTAGGGGGAAAGCATTCAGTCTCTCGCTATTAAATATGACGTGAACTGTATGTTTTTAATAAATGTTCTTTAGCAGGTTGAGGAAATTCTCTATTCTTAGTTTACTTAGGGATTTTTTTTTTTATCATAAATAAGTTTAATTTCCTCTTTCTGCTTTATTTGGGCTTCATTTTGCTCTTTTCTAATTTCTTGAGATGGAAGCTCAATTATTAACTCGAAGTTTTCTTGTTTTCTAATGTATTTAGTTATGTAATTTTCATCTTGGCACTGTTTTAGCTGCATCCTACAAATTTCCATTTATTGTATTTTCATTTCATTTTGTTCAGTGTATTCTTTTTTTATTTCTCTTGAGACTTCCTCTTTGAGGGATTATTTAGACATGTGTTACTTAATTTCTAAGTATTTGGAGATTTTTCTGTAACTTTCTGTTATTGATTTTTAGTTTGATTTCATTGTGGTCAGAGAACACACTTTATTTCAGTTCTATTACATTTTTTTTAATGGCCCAGGATATTGTCTATCTTGGTATATGTTCTATATTTTTGGAAAGGATGCATAGTCTGCTGTTGGGTGGAGTTTATTTAATTTTTAATTTTTATTTTTGAATTAATTTATTTAAATTAGTTTCAAGTATACAGTACATTGATTAGACATCTATGTAGTTCATAAAACGATCTCCCTTATTGCTCCCTCCCTCTTCTGGCCCTCCACCTAGCCATCATATTAATACTAGCTGCATTCACTCTGCCGTGCTCTCCATCCCCATTCCTAACCATCAACTACTAATTTGTACTTCTTTAACCCTTCACCCCATTCTCCCAGTCCCCTAACCTTCACCCCTCTGTCCATCACCAAATTTTCTACTATATTTGTTTAGATTAGTTTGTTCTTTTTGTTCCTTAGATTCGCATATAAGTGAAATCATATGGTATTTATCTTTTTCTGTCTGACTTATTTCACTCAGCATAATAACCTCTAGGTCCATCCATGTCGTTGCAAATGGTAGGATTTCATTTTTGTTTTTTTTTAATGGCTGAGTAATATTCCATTGTATATATGAACCATAATTCTTTATCCAATCATCTGTTGATGGGCATTTAGGTTGCTTCCATATCTTGGCTATTGTAAATTGTGCTGCCATGAATATTGGAGTGCATAGATCTTTACAAATTATTTTTTTGGTTTTCTTTGGATAAATACCCAGAAGTGCAATTGCTGGGTCAAAAGGTATATCCATTTTGAATTTTTTGAGAAACCTCCATACTGTTTTCCATAGAGGCTGTACCAACTACAATCCCACTAACAATGTATGAGGATTCCCTTTTCTCCATATCCTCGCCCATGCTTGTTGTTCTTTGATTTATTGATGATAGCCATTCTGACAGGTGTCAGGTGATAACTCATTGTGGTTTTAATTTGCACTTCTCTGATGATTAGTGACCTTGAGCATCTTTTCATATGTCTATTGGCCATCTATATATTTCCTGTTTGGAGAAGTATCTGTTCAGGTCTTCTGCCCATTTTTAAATTGGATTGTTTTTTGTTTTTTGTTGTTGTTGAGTTATGCGAGTTCTTTATATATTTTGGATATTAACTCCTTATAAGATATATCATTAGCGAATATCTTCTCCCAGTTGGTTGTCTTTTGTTTTGTTGATGGTTTCCTTTGCTGTACAAAAACTTTTTAGTTTGATGTAGTCCCGTTTGTTCATTTTATCTTTTGTTTCCCTTGCCCAGGG